TGGATTCCCCCAGTGCAACCTACCCACCACCCTGGGGCATCAAGCGCCTGCTCCAGGCATTGGATGCCCCAGGCAGCCTGGAAGTGGCAGGGTCTCTGGGCCGGGGGCCCCCGATCTGCCACCCGAAGACAAGGGTACCATTGTCATCGTTCCCTTGTTCCGCAGCCTCATCGCCATTGGGATTCATCCAGGATGTTTCACGAGAGTTTGCTCGAGTGGCGTCGTCGTTCCCGCCTGCGCCGCGACCGCCCGAGTGGCCGCGAACAAAGCATTGGCACAGGAGATAGCGATCGATTGCACTGAGACAAGCCGCCGAGTTCGCGGAGCAGCGCAACCGCCGGGTGGACTCTTTTACGCTGGCCGACATGGCCTTGCCGAGTAGGGTTTGGCATCAGTAGTTCGCCCTGGGAGGTGCAGCCTGCCAGCGCTCTCGCCTCCTGGCGACAATTCCTTGGCTGACGGTCTTTTGGACCACCCTGGTTCTCGCGCTTCGCCGACGTCCGGGGCGTCGCCTTTGCATTTCTCTTTCCTACCTCGACCGACGGCCCCTTGGCCATGGCCACCCTGGTGCCCACGCAGTCGTCTGAGGTACGGTCTCGCGCTTTCTCTCTCGGAGTGTTCTTTGGCCGTCGTTGACTTTCCGACGCATGGCGAATCCGACGGACATGCAGCTTCGCGCGCTGGCAGTTCCCCTCAGTCTCAGTCCCCTCGGCCACCCACCTGAGGCCTCGGCCGGCGCGTAGCCGTCGCCTCGCGCGCTGCTCTGCTTTATTGTTCCCGCGCTTCCTCTGCCTAATTTGTCTCTGCGTAGCCCGCTTTGACCTGACTCGCCGCCGGCGCGCTCGCCCGCGGCCGCTGACTAAAAAGTAACCCCACCAGCCCATCCAGAAACGATGCCCACAGGACTTGCCTCGATCAGGGAAGTGGGCAGCGCACAGAGGAAGGGCCCCCCAGTGGAGGCCTCTTGGAGCGTCTTGGGTGCCTCGGAGAGCTTCCTTGGGCCTCTTGGGGGTCTCTTGGGGGGGCATCTTGGAGGCCTCTTGGGCGCCTGTTGGGGCCTCCTGGGCGCCTCTTGGGGCCCTCCTGAAGCGCTCTTGGTAGCCTTGTGAGCGCTCTTGGGGCCATCTTGGGGGACATCGATCAAACAAGAAGCGAGCAGTAGTTAGCGTTGCCCCTCGGGAGCCCAAACAATCGCCTCTTGGGGCGCTCTTGGAGCGTTCTCTAGGCGCTATTAGGCGTTCTTGGGGCCGTCTTGGGGCGTTCTGGAGCCTCTCTTGGAGCCCTCTTGGGCCATCTTGGAGCCATCTTGAGGCCCCGGATGGCCATCGGAAGCGAAAAGGCGAGAAAGCCAAACACATAGAATTTCCAAAGGTTTTGGCCTCTTCGTGGACTCTGGGGGGGCTCTTTGGCCACTGGGAACCGTCTTGGAGCGGTCTTGGGGCATCTTGGAGCATCGTGGGTGCCAATATGAGACATCCTGGGATATCTTGAGCCATCTTGGAGGTCATCTTGGGCTCCCCCAGGCGCTCTTGGAGTCATCTTCATCAGTGCCCCCCCAAGGGGCCAACATGTGGCTAAAACCTTAGTCGAATCAGTGATGTTGCATTCTGGCCGAGGCCTCTTGGAGCATTTTGGGTGCCTCTAGAGGGTCTCGGGCCTCTTGGGGGTCTCTTGGGAGCCTCTTGGGGGCATCCTGGGGGCCTCTTGGGGTTTCCTGGCCACTTTTGGGGGCCCTCTTGGGGCACCGTTGGGAGCCTTGGGGGGGCCATCTTTGGGCCATGAAGTTAGGTCAGCAAACCCGCTGAATTTAAGCAAATAAGTAAGCGGAGGATGAAGCAACTAAATAGGATTCCCTTAGTAATGGCGAATGAACAGGGATCAGCTCAGCACGGAAAGTGGGGCCCTCGGCCTTGGATTGTAGTCTCGAGGTGTATCGCCAACGGAGGCGCAGATGTAAGCCTCTTGGAAAAGAGCATCAACGAGGGTGAGAGTCTCGTTTGTCATCTGCGGTCCCCCGTGCACGGCATACTTTCTAAGAGTCGCGTTCTTCGGAATTGAAACGTAAATTGGGTGGTACATTTGATCTCAAGCTAAATATTGGCCCGAGACCGATAGCAAACAAGTACCATGAGGGAAAGATGAAAAAGGACTTTGAACAGAGAGTTAAGAGTGCCTGAAATTGTTGAAATGGAAGCGAATGGAACCAGTGTTGCTTGGCAAGATTGTCGGGTGCATGACGCGCAGGGGGGTGCACTAATTAGGGCCCCCCCCCATCAGGAGGCCAAAATGGATCCAAAACCATAGTAAAACCAATGATTGTGGTTTCCTCGCCGAGGCCGTTTCAGATGTTCCGGCACCTCGCGAACCCCCTGTCCACGTCCATGGGGAGGGGGCACGGGGAAGGGTCAAGACGCCTTCGCCGTCCGCAAGCCGTCTCGCTCACTCCCACCCGCCCTCCCAACACATACGTAGCACCCGAGCCTGGCCCGAGCCGCAGCATATGCGCAGCAGTCGTCTTTGGATGGCCAGCTATTGGGGGCCAGTCCGCCGCCGCCGCCGCCGCCGCCTCCGCCGCCACCGCCGCCGCCCGCCGCTGCCGCCGGCGTCGCGCCGCCGCCGCCGCCGCCGCTGTCCGCCGCTGCCGCCGCCGCTCCGCGCCCGCCGCCGCCGCCGCCCGCCGCCCCCGCTGCCAAATCGCCGCTGCCGCCGCAGTCGCTGCCGCCACCGCTGCCGCCGCCGCCGCCGCCGCCACCGCCGCCGCCGCCGCCGCCGCCCCCGCCGCCGCCGCCGCCGCCGCCGCCGCCCCCGCCGCCACCACCGCCGCAGCCGCCGCAGCCGTTGCCCCCGCCGCAGCCGCCGCAGCCGCTGCCGCTGCCAAGTGTATTCTGTATGGTTTTTTGACAGGGATGGTGGAGGGAGGCCGCATCGGGTTCGCTGCGCAGTTTCCGAATTTGGAGGCAGAGTGTGTTTTGCATTGTTTTTTTACCAGGGATGGTGGGGGCAGACTGTGTTTTGTATGTTTTCTTACAAGGGATGGTGGGGGGGGGCCCCCATGGACCTGGGTTGCCTCCCAGTCGCCAGGGGAGGGGGGGTATACTAATAGGGAACAGTGACAAACCCCTCCCCGAAAGGGAAGGAGGGGTGGAAGAGGAAACTCCCTAAACAACCGGCGCCCAGAGGGCTGGTGGGTTTGGTTTGGCGACGGACCCATCTTTATGCATCAATGTGTAGCGCAGGGCGCGGGTCTCTCGTCTTCATACAATGTGCGCCGCACGGGCGTGGTGAATTTTTTATTTCTCCCAACAATATTGTCGTGTTGGGTCATCGTTTTGAAGAGACGGTCCCCGCGTTCCCTCCTCCCTTCCTTCCTTCCTCCTCCTCTCCTCCCTCCTCCATCATCATCGTCACCTCTTTCACGGTGGCGCACCCCTCGCATGTTTCGTGGCCCCAGAGGATCTCCGCTGAAAGCCTCAGTGGTGCCGTCCGCGGGCGTCCCCGCCACCCATTTCAGCACACGCGGCTCGTGGTCCCACATGGGGAGTTCCACCAAAGGCCCCTGGGGGTGTGGCCACATGCGTCCCCGTCACCCATTGTCGGCGCACCCCTCACACGGTTCGTGGCCCCATGGGGAGCTCCACCGAAGGCCGCCGGGGGTGCGTCCACATGCGTCCCTGGCACTCATTTCGGCACACCCCTCACACGGTTCGTGGCCCCATGGGGAGCTCCACCCAAGGCCCCAGGGGGTGCGTCTACATGCGCCCCAGGCACTCATTTCGGTACACCCCTCGCACGGTTCGCCTCATTTCCCTCGCGGTTCTCGCAGCTGCATATGGTTGGGTCCTTCGCCAGGCTAATTTGTTAAGCACCATCCGCATGAAGGGTGCGCCGACGAATTCGGACACCCTCACGCGAACGCCCCCTCTGAGGCCACAGGTGGACCTGTTCCAGGCACGACCCGTGCGAGGCATGTTCCGAAATGGCCAGGGGTACGCCGTGCGAAGTTGCCCATTGGTGCCATGGGTGGAGCTCCTTCTGGGACATGGTTCGCGTAACGGGTCCGCCGACATGGGCGGGGGAGCGTTGTACGAATTGTGTCTCTGGGCCTTTAGGTTGCGTTGCTTTTGGGCACGATCTGCGTGACCGGGTGTGCTGCAATGGCCAGGGGGGGTGGCCGTGCGAACCTTGCCTTTGGGGCCGTAGGTGGAGATCCTCTTGGGCCACGATCCGTGTGCGAGGCGTGCCGAAGTAGACGGGAGGGCGGGATGCGAACCTCGTGTCCAGGGCCGTCCGTGGAACCCCTTGCGGGCCACGATCCATGTGAGAGGTGTGCTGAAGCGAGCGGAGCAACGCTATAAAGTTTCATTATGGTACCGCAAATGCAGTTGTTTGCGGGCACGATCCGCGCGATGTGGCGTACCACTATGCGAAACAGGTCTCTGGGGACGTAGGTGGAGCTTCCTGTGGGTCGCGATCCCTGTTAGGGGTGTGGCGGGAGAACGCTAGCCAAGCCAGTCTTTGGGGCCGCAGGTGGAGCCCCCTGAGGGCATGACCCGTGCGACTCTCCATGTCTTCCAATACCGCACGTTCTAGACTACTACTAGAGCTTACCAGAACCTAAGCGCGCGAAGCGCGCACGTGGTTCTGGTATACATGTACATGTATATACATGTCCGTGTGTCTCTCTCGCGCTCTCACTCTCTCTCTATCTCTCTATATGTAGTTGCATATGCCGTCTTGATGTTGTCCCTCTTATGGAAGTTTGTGTAATGAGATGGGGAGTGTGGGAATTGGGTAATTAGGTAGCTTCCAAGTCCTCAATCCGATTGGTGGTAATAGTTTGTGGGGCGTTGTTCGCCAGATGTCAAAATCTGTTCCACCGCGTAGTGTGTTGCTACATTCGGGAGGTGGACGGATGAATGGGTTACCTTCACCCCGCTCCAAGCTGTCGCCAGGGATGTTGCCCTGGCACGGGTTTCCTGGCACGGGCACTGGCACGGGTTTTTGATGTTGCCCTGGCACGGGTTTCCTCAAGTACCTCATGTGTTGCTGACGTCCTTAACCCCCTCTAGCTCAAGGCCGCCAGCCAGGTCCTTCCTGTTACAGTAACTATTCACTCCATTTTCTGGCCGCCGGCGCTCGCACCCCGATAGGGCCAGATGACGCTGCGCCGACTCTTCGCGCTGGCGCTCCCTGCGGCTGCTGGTGGCGTGACGTTGTCTTTGTCAGGCCAGCGCCAGGAGGTACTGCTGCAAGACGAGGAGACCAGCCCACCGGCTGCGGCTCTCGCAGAGGACGATGCGCCAGGGCCGCTGGCCATGCAGCTGGGCCACTCCTCGGGGGAGGCGCTCGTGAGGTCCACCGCCGTGGGCACGCTGGTGCAGGCCTTGCAGAGCGGCGAGCTCGATGGGAACCCCTCCGAGCGCCTCGATGCCATCCTGAAGCTGGGCGACCAGCTCACCTCCGAGAGCTGGCTGGCCTCCGGGCCGGAGGCCCTGCAGGCGCTGAAGGGGAAATTCTTCAAGAGGGACGATCTCAAGGCGAAGGTGCAGTTGATGTGCCACCTGGACGGGGACTGCTCCTTCCAGCAGGGCTCGCTGCTCTTCTGCGAGGCCCTGCAGCTCGCGGCCTCCCAGGAGAAGCTGGGGGATCTGGCAACGCTGGAGAAGCTCATCAACGCGACGACGATGTCCACCCGCTTTTATGGCGTTGACACGGTCACCCAGAGCGCTCTGATAGCGAGATGGGACAAGGAGGTCGAGTGGGTGCCGAGGTTCATGTCGACCGTCAGTCGCGTGAGTGGTGCATTCAAGAGCCTGCGGCAGCGGATCAATGTCACCCCGGACTTCCGGGAGCTGGTGAAAGACACATGTGCGGAGTTGTCGTCTATCCGGCCCAAGTGCCTGGACAGAGCGTCGGACGGGGCCTTCTGCCAGGCGCTCGGACAAGCCGCTGCTGTAAACCTTGGCCCGCTGGAGGCCAGCAGGCGCCTCGGCGAGGTCCTGATGACGATTTGAGCAGCGCACTCGTCTGAACGCCCCGCGGCCGCGTGCTGGCGGTCCATGATTGATGGCGGCATTGCGCGCTCGGCTCGCTCCTCGAAGGATGGACCCCTCGCCGGATCGACCCTCTCTTTTCTTCCTTCCCCCCCGTTTTCTCCCTTTTACCTCCTCGACCTTCCTGCCAATCGAATCGCCGCGGGTTTGCAACAGAGGCTTTAACAGCACACGGGGCCAGTAACTGGCTGGCTCCAACCTATGCTGCCGATCGGCTGTCGTCACGGGCTGGACTTGTGATGTGATCGCCAGAGAAACACGTGCACCGGTCGAAAAATGTTGTCGTTCTGTGGTTGTTGTATCGCCTGGATCTGAGGGATCTTGCTTCAGCATCGTTTAGGCGATCCCCCTCCCCATGGACCGTGGCACCGCGGCCCCACCATCCCGCCCTCTCTCGTGAGGAAAGTCCCCGTGAAACCCGAACGAACAGGCATACGTGTGTATACCCCTACCCAAGTGAGCGAGTCGGCCAGCCAGTGGGACCAAGGCCACGCCAGTCGGGATAGGTTGAAGCATGCTCCCTGCTTCGAGAGAGGGCCGAGCATTTTCTTTGGGTGGAGGGCAGAGGGTGAAATCTGAAATGCCGTTTCGACGGATTCTCGAGGCTGGAATTTGCAAGAGGCGAATCACAAGACGGAATGGTTCTCGAAGTGCAGAAGCCCATCTGGATTTCACCCTGAGCCTTCCACCCTATGAAAATGGTAAGGAGGGGTGCTCGACCGTCGACGCAGCAGGGGCAGCCGCCTGCCCAGCCGACAGAGTAGCGCCCGCGGAAGGGGCCGCCTCGGAGGTGAACAGACCTCCTACCCTGACACGTCGATTAAGGAATCGGCCGTTGTCGGTTCGCGAGAGGGCGCCGCGGCCGTCCTTTTTGCGGGTCCGGGTCCGCCGGTTTCGGTCCCGGGCCGTGTTAAAACAGGGCTAGGATCGGGATAAATCGCTCCAGAGCGTTCCGGAGCGCTCTCAGAGCGTTCCGGAACGCTCTGGAGCGGCCGCGGCGCCCAATACATCCTCCAAACCCGCCGATTCTCAGAGATTTCGAGTGATCCCGATCCGATTGTGTCCTGATCTTCGCGTCGTTTTACGTGTTCATTGAGGGGAGGTTTACCAAAGGGAGGTCTGTCCCCCGCGGGGCCAGGCCACTGCCGTGCCCGGCTGCGGGGCCCACGCCGGCATGCTGGAGGTCGGGAGCCTGCCGACCATGGAGGAGAGCAGGCCCCGGGGGCCCGAGGGCCGAGGGCGCTCCAGGAGGAGGGCGGGGACACAACACGCAAACACAATGGTTTGTCGACTCCCAGAAAATATGCGAAAATATCGGAAGTGGGGGGGAAGACAGCAACCCAGAAAATATAGGAAAATATGGGGAATCTTTTTATTTGTGTGTATGACAGAGCCCCCAACAGTGACACGACGATTAGTGAATTGTCCGTTTTCGGTTCTTGGGAGGGCGCCGTGGCCGTGATTTTCCAGGTTTGCGCCCGCCAGGTTTGGGCCTCGGGTCGTTTTCAGCAAACCACGTTTTACTAAAGGGGGGTCTGTCCATCCCCGGAGGAGGGTGGGGACACAGAGGTGCCGTGGCCGGCCCAGGCCTTAGGATGCTCCAGCCTACTCTAGCCCCCCGGATCACCAGGAGGAATTGCGAGCGCCCCAAAAAGTGCCGAAACTCAAAGGCTTTCCCGTGTCGGGCCCTGGGAGACACTCGCCCGACACTGTTTCGACACTCTTTTGACACTTGTCCGGGTGCTCGAAATTATTTCTGGGATGCGGTCCTTAAGCAGGATGAAAACAACATAAGCCGAGGGCGTTCCAGGAGGAGGGTGGGGACGCAGAGGTGTCGTGGCCGGCCCAGGCTGTGGAGTCTCCCGGATCGCACGGCACCCTTTTCGTAATTCTGGACGCCCGAAATGGGCACGGAAAGAATGGGTACAATGCCCAACAGCAGTTCCTATTCATTTGGCACAGGATTCGCTGTCCGCGCCGCCGCGGCCTTCCATTCGAGACAGAAGGCCGCCTGCCCAACAGCGGCCGTTGCTGGTTTGGGACAACAACATTTGTTGTTGGGCATTGTACCATTTTTTTCCGTACCCATTTCGGACGTCCAAAGGCACCCTTTTCGTAATTGGGCACGCCCCCCTGACTCCTGCCCTTCTTGGTCCCCGTGATTGGCGTCGGAGTGAATGATTGTGGAACGCATTTTTTTCCCCCAGTTGGCTCTTGCACTGACGGGCTCCTGGCGCGGAGATCGAAAGATGTGGCCAAAGTGCCGGGCCCATTTTTTTTTTGGCGGCCGGGTTCCCTGGTTCCCGGTTGCAGGTTCCCAGGTTCCCCGCTGCTGGTTCCGAACCGATTTCGGTGGGCGTCGGGATTCCCGGGTTTCCGAGTTCCTGGGTTCTTGGTCGATCTCTTTCTTGATCTGTCTCACCATAGATCTCACTACCCACCTCGCTACTAATCACACAATCGATCCCACTGTAGATCCCACGAGCGATCTCACGGTCGATCTCATGATCGATCTCACTGACTCGATTTCACAATCGGTCTCACGATTGACCTTACTATCGTCCTTACGTTCGATCCCACCTTCGGTCCCACTATCGATCTCACAATCGACTTCAACATCCAGATCACGAATTTGCAAATCATCCATTGGTTGTGTGTTTCCTTTGGTGCTATTTGCTTTGTAGATTTGGCTGGTGTATGTTTGTGATGGACGTCGCTGGTGTATGTTATTGACGTATGCTCTTAGTTCATGTTATTGGTGGCCGATCTTGATTTTGCTTGAGAAATGTCGAGTCGTGATGGCCGCCCTTGAAGTAGGCTGTCGGAGTATGTCATTGATGTCTGTCCTTGCTGTATGTTATTGGTGTTTGTTCTGGATGTCTTCTTTGGATGTCTGAAGACGGCGTGACGCCGTCACGCCGTGACGCCAGTCATGTTGTTCTTAATGTCTGTTATTGTTCTCTGTCCTTCAGGCGGTAGTTGTGAATGGGCCGGTGGGGGGAAATTCGGAAGTCTCGAAGGTCCTGGTATGCGTGCCCCAGAGGGGGGGGGGGGAGATTCGTGAGTCTCTGGAGTCCTGGGGCCTTGCGGCAGTGGTATGCAGGGCTGGCGGGCGGGGTCCAGGCGGGAGAATGAGTTGTTTCCCGGAGATATCGATGTTAGGATGTCTGGATGGGTCTTCAAGGTCGGTTTTCGAGAGCCCCCATGATCCAGACGATTTCTTCGTAGATGTGGGAAGAGCACAACTCTTGCGAAATGTTGCCGTGAAGTTGTAAATTTGTCTTTTTCGGGAAGCCTCTTTGGAGATGTAAGGGTGCTCACATATCCTGTGAATTAGTACGGTGGGATGGTACATGAGGATCTTCTCGGGGAGTTTGCCCTGGAATGAATTTCGCAAATCTTCGGAACGATGCGTTTCGTCTGGGACATATTCAGGAGTGATAGTAAAGTGCTTCATGGTGCTGTGCATGCGATGGAGATGAGAGGTATGATAGGAAACTTGTAGCGGGTGGCCCCACCCCCAGATACTAACTCAGATCCCCCATTTCTCACCTGAGAGTTTACTGCCTCCGGCTAATCCAGATTTGCTCGGGGGAGACACGCGGGCAAGGCCGAATTTCCTTACCGCGGGGAAGAGTTGCGCATCGAAGTTGTTATCTTCTGATGTTGATTAGCAACCTCATCGAAAACGCGTGGCGTCGCAATGAGGGTCTCACCATTTCAATGTTTGCAAGTCACGAGTGTGTGGCATAGCTCTGGGGCTCTCACCAATTCAGCCATCCAAATCACGAGCGTGTGGCAGGGCTATGGGACTCATTTTCTCAGCCCTTCCCGGGTCAGGAACGTGTGGCAAGATATGGTGACCGATTAGAGTTTGAAGCTCGCATGCCTTTTTCGAGCCAGCGGTGCATTGGACATGCTTTTCTGGCACACCCCTTACACGGTGCGTGGCCCCATAGGGAGCTCCACCAAAGGTCCAAGTGGCAGTGCCCGCGTGCGTCCTCGCTTCCCGTAGGCCCCAGTATAGCACACCCTCACACAGATCGGGACCCTATTATAAATACGTCCACGGGACCTCCGCCTCCTCCCAAACCCTGCGCCTTCACTTCCACCTTTCCCCCTCCTCCACCCCCGAATCTCCACCCATCCGCCGTCACCGAGCGTGGCGCTCTCCCGGGCCCGCGCAAGGGCGGCGGCGCTTGCCCAGGTCGCCGAGTCCCGAAGCCTAGACGAGCCGGTTGCCGAGTTGACCGAGTTTTCCACCGAGGTGCTCAAGCAGAACAAGGAGTTCCTCGCCAAGCAGGGCGCGACAAGCCAGTGCTTCAAGCACCTGTGCGAGAAGGCCTCCTGCGCCGAGATGCGCCAGTGCCAGAGATCGGTGAGGCCACCGACGCTTCGAGGATGACGAGCATTGACCTTTTGGGCTCGAGCTCGCTGTGGTCGAGCAGCGTCGCGAACACGGTGCTCGAGACGATCTACAAGTCGGGCACGGTCGAGTCCATCATGAAAGAAGGCAGCTTCCACGGGAATGACATCCGCTGCTCCGAGCTCCTCGCCGCCGTCACCTGGAAGACGCGGCGCGCGAAGTCCGACGAGACGACGCCTGCGACGAGCACGACCAGAAGTGCGACTAAATGTTCATCCTTCTGCTCAGTTTCCGCCAGCAGCTCCTCCAGGCAGCCAAGAACCAAGATTCTTTCCGGCGACGAGACCGTCAACAAGTTGAGCAATCTTCAAGACGCGCATCTATGAGGCGTTCGGGGAGCCCCTTGTAGGCCCCCAGGCACTCCACGAGTCCATGCTTCCAGCCGGCCCGCGCTTCGAGCCTTGCGAGGTCTGGCCGAGCGCGCAGGTCAGCGCCAGGCTCGCCAGGGAAACCGAGCGGGTTTTCGAGGCGATCGAGGCGTTGCCTGGGCCAAGGAGAACTTGCCCAGGCCTGCCCAGACCAGCGCGATCGAGCCACGGAGGCCGTCGCCACACGGCGCCGGCGCATCGGGGCGCTCCGCGACGCCGAGCGCCAGCTCCCGGAGGCCGCGAACCTGGCCGAGCGCGCCCAGCGCGACCAGCAGGCCGAGAAAGAGGCGCGCAACACAGACGTGGTCATCCTCGAACGCGGCATCGAGAAGTTAGGAGCCACCGCGCGATCGCGACCGATCTCGCCGAGCTGGTCGCCAAGTGCACCGCCGAGAAGCCGACGAGGCGGAAGAGGCGGGCGCGGGGGGCACGGCCTAGAGACTTCGCCTTTCGAAGCCCACCGTTCGAGCCCGATCGA